CCACCCTCGCACCTTCGCCTTTTAGTCCCCTTCACACACACCCACACACAGCTTTCAGCCGGGCCCCGAGTTGCCTTCTGTGAGAGCGCAGATCTCTCCTCATCTGCCGTGCTTTTCAAGCCTTCCGGCCCGAAGCTGGCAGAGCAAGTGCGCCTCGACGAGGCTCACCCCCTACAGGCGCCTCCAGGCCGATCTCCTTCGGGGCACCGCGACCATCGGTCCCCCTCCCCTGGGCTCTTCTTCACATCTCCCCCCGCGCATCTGAGTCCCTGGACCTGGTCGCTGTCGCAATGCTCTCTCTTGCACTCAGCTTCTCCAAGCTCCTTGGCCAGCCGGAGGATATTCACACCCTTGTTCTCGGCCTTGAGGGTGCCGGCAAGACGGTACTCCCCCCGCCCCCCCCCCCCGCCCCCCTCGCCTGAGCCTTGGCTTTCACCTCGTGCAGCACTCACCCCTTGCCCGAGCTTACCCCCTTTGCTCCTCCCCTGCCTTCTAAGACCATCCTTGAGTGCTTTCGGCAGCTGATTCTAAAGCAGCCTCGTCGGCTAATTATGCCCACGAGCGGGCTCAATGGTCCGAGCACAGCCTTCCCCACTCCTCACCGCGTCACCGCGTCACCGCTCGCCGGCCCGCTGCTCACTATTTCTCCACCTTCTTGTGTTTTTCCTTTTAGTCGCATCATTGGACATCCCCTCCGGATCACTCTTTTCTCCCGGCACCAAAGTCAACCTCCTGGACATGAGCGGGCGGATGGAGTGGCGCAAGCTCTGGGCCAAATACTTTCAACGGGCACAGGCACTCATTTTTGTGATCGACTCGACCGACGTGCCGCGCCTTGCGCCGGCCGTGGAAACACTGCGTGCGTCTGGGCCACGCATGGCGTGGGCATTTGGTCGTGGGATTGGCTCGCCACTTCCTGTCCGCACTTGCTGACCGCCCCCTCCCCCCCCCCCCCCCCTCTTCTCCTCCCTCTAGTCGGGCTCCTGAAGCACCAGGATCTCCATCAAAAGCCGGTGCTGATCCTTTTCAACAAAAGCGACCATCCCGATGCCCTCCCCCTTCACAATCTAATCCCGCTGCTCGAGGAGGCTGGCCTCTTCGAGGATGACGAGGGCTTGGCCGATGCCGGGATAGATGGCCTTTCGGGCTCTGACACCGAAGATGCCCCTCCTCCGGCCATGGTGGACCTCACCTCGACCGCCGATCTGGCCTCCACAGCCACGCCCTCATCTCTGGAGAGCCTGTCGCCATCGGGGGTTCCAGCTTCAGTCGAGGCACCTCCCCTTGCGCCGACGCCCATCGACTTCCTGGAAAACCGCCCTCTCCGGGTGCAGGCCAGCAGCGGTCTGAGTGGGTGCGTGTTCGTCCTCTGCCTTCCTCTCGGTTTCTGCCCGTCACATTTGCACATTTTCCTGACGCTTCCCTGCCCTTCCTTGTGTGGGATGTGGGGGTATCCTTCCGCCCAGCGAGGGGCTTCTTTTGGCACTTGAGTGGCTGATTACGGCCTCCCGGCGGGCGGCCAGGGCCCAAACTGTCCGGGCAGCCGGGTGAGTGGACCGCCTCTTTGACCGCCGGGGATTGTAGTGCTGCTGCTCGCGCGCACACGCACACGCGCACGCACACGCACACGCACACGCACGCATACACCCGGCCATCCCCGATGGGCCCCTTGTCAAGCCCGATCACCACTCTTGAGGCCTCATACGTTGGCACTCACCTTGCCCGATGCGTCCCTTTCGCACTTTTCGCATGGGTGAGAGGTGTCCCCCTTTTGGCGGGCGATGGGCGACACCACACTCCCGATGGGCCTTGATCGCACCTACGTGAGGGCGAAGTGGGAAGATGGTGGTTGGAGGAGGAGGAGGAGGGCGCGCTTGGGGCCCTGTAGAATGTGGACAATGCTCCAAATAAAATACCGCCTATGTGGGGAAACCAGTAGATCAGCTCCTTTGGCTATCTTTTTATCTTGATGCTTCTTTGCCCACCTCCCCTGTTCCGTGGCTTTTTTTTTTCGCCCCTCCTCAATTCGTGGCTCCCGCTTTCCCCTTTCTCCGCGCGATGACTTCGCCCAAAGTCCTGGCCTTCCTGGCTGGGGTCTGTGGCGCCGGAGCCGGCGTAGTGCTGGCCCTCGCGGCGCGACTGTTCCCCGGTGACCCGGTGGCGGTGTTGAAGTCCGGCGGGATGGCCGCCCTGCAGGAGGTCTTTCCCTCGCTGGCTTTGTATGGCCTGCATTTTGCCCTGAATGCTGCCATGTGGTGGTTCCACACGGCCTCCGTGGCATCGGCACCGCGGGACCCCGCCAGCCGCGAGAAGTCTCCCGAGCCCTCGAGCTCCGCCGCGGCTGTGGTCACGCTGGTTGCCAATACCGTTTTCTCGGTATGTCTCTCTCTCCCCCCTCCTTTGCCCCTCTCCACCGATGTTGGAAATCCTTGCGGTCGAGCAAGTTCCCGCCCCCCCATTTGTCTTACTTCTCTCTCCCTCCCTCCCTCCCTCTCTCTCTCTCTCCCTCCCCCCCGGAAATATTACTCCGGGATCTACTCGAATGCACACGCCCTCGACACACTGTACCCTGATCAGGCTCTCCTGTCGCGCCTGCTCCTCGGTGAGCGGCTGGGACACCCATGGCGCTGGGCGATCGGGGCGGCAGTCGCCGGGCTTGGGGCAACCTTGGTCACCCGGGGAACTGGCGCGGCCGAGGCAGCAGCACCCCCCGCGCCCGACGGATCCCACATCGCCCGCACCAAGGCCGATTAGCTTGCTCCAATCCCTGCTGTATGTGCCCGCCCCCCCCCCACCTCTTTTAATGTCCTTTCCCTGTCCTCTCTCGATCAACCGACAGTGGGCAGCTTTCCGAATGTCAACTCCCACCGCAACATGATCACACTTCCAACCTAAATGCCTGTGTCGCTCCTTGTTCCGCGGGCATGACCGGCCTTCCTGGGGCCCCTCAGCAGTTTACACCGGGCCCCCTTCCCTGGTGGGGGTCTATGTCCGGCGAGCTGGTGTTGTTGAGGAAGCTGTTCTCGCTTTTGTTGACGCCCTCCTGCTCTCTCCGAGTTGGTGATCGGGGCAGGCATCTCCCCGGTTGTGGACCTGTGTGTTCGCCGCCCTGCCTACGGGTGGTGGGCTGGCAGGTCGGCGAGCTGGGGGCGCGCGGGGAGCGGCTTGGGTTTGTAAGTGTGTATGCGGGGGGGGGGGGGGGGGGGCATTTTCTCCGGCCAGCCGGGGTGTTCCTGGAGCAAACAGAAAGGGGGCACCCGCCCGGGCGGGGCCGGAGAGCCTTCGCGACCCCTTCCCGGAGAGGGCAACCCCTCTCCTGGGGGATTGGGGGCTGGTGAATCCTGAGTCCAAGGGGCGGTATGGTGCCCGCGGCCTCCTCACAGGAATCAACCCACCGACTCCGTCGACAGACAGGCCTCCCTCCCTCCCTCCCTCCCTCCCTCCCTCCCCCCCCCTCTCTCTCTCTCCCTCTCTCTGGCTCTCCCCTCCCCCCTTTTGCTACCCCGCCTCCGACACACCATGGACACCCTCATCCCTCTGATCAATCGTCTCCAAGACGTGACTCTCTCGGCCGGACTCCCGAATGTCATTGATCTGCCCCAGATCGCGGTCATCGGCGCGTGCGTACTTTGGACCACCTAGATGGTTGCCCTTTGCTTCCCTCTCCGTCTCCACCCTGCTATTCCCCTCTCACCCCGCCCCCCCCCCCCCCCTTCTCACTGGCGTTGTCATGTGTAGCCAGAGTTCCGGCAAGAGTTCCGTCCTGGAGAACATCGTCGGGCGTGACTTCCTTCCGCGTGGTACCGGGATCGTCACCCGCCGGCCTCTGGTCCTGCAGTTGGTGCACGCCAAGCCCGGCACCGCGAAGACCAGCTCCGGGCAGCCGGCCCCGGCCGAGGAGTTCGGTGAGTTCCACCACCTCCCAGGCAAGGTCTTCACCGACTTTGGCCAGATTCGCGAGGAGATCATCCGGGACACGGACGAAAAGACCCGCGGTGACAAGGGTATGTTGCTCTCATGCCCTGCTTTTCCATGATGCACCTGGGTCCCCTCTGCCCACTTCCCTTCTTCTGTCCCGGCTCTTGTCCGATCGGCGTTGGTTTGATACATATGCACACACACACACACACACATACACACGCACACACGATCGTTGAACGCGCTCGCCGGTATTTCGCCCACCTGACTTGCTTCCTCCGCCTCCCTCTGCCCCCCCCCCCCCTGCCTCCCTCGCTTCGTGCCCAGGTGTCTCGCCCCTGCCCATCCACCTGAAGATTGTCTCGCCCAATGTCCTGAACTTGACCCTGGTGGATCTGCCCGGCATGACCAAGGTCCCGGTTGGCGACCAGCCCAGCGATATCGAGGCACAGATCCGGAACATGTGCATCAACTACATCAACCGCAAGAATGCCATCATCCTGGCTGTGACGGCTGCCAACACGGATCTGGCCAACTCGGATGCGCTGAACCTGGCCCGGCAGGTGGACCCGAAGGGCGAGCGCACCATCGGTGTGCTGACCAAGATCGACATCATGGACAAGGGCACCGACGTGTTGGACATCCTGGCCGGCAAGGTGGTCCCCCTGCAGTTGGGCTATGTGCCGGTGGTCAACCGCGCCCAGCGGGACATCGATTCGGCCAAGTCCATTCGCGATGCGCTGGATTTCGAGCGGCGCTTCTTCGAGAACCACTCTTCCTACTCCAATCGGGCCCAGTATTGCGGCACTCCCTTCCTGACGACCAAGCTGAACCACATCCTGACGCATCACATCCGCGTGACCATGCCGGAGCTTCGTGCCAAGATCCAGCAACAGCTGGTGATCCAGCGCAACCGTCTGACCGAGCTCGGCCACTCGGAGCACGATGCGTCAGCCATGTCCTCCGATGCCCAGGGCAGCAACATTATCCTGACCCTGATCTCGGACTTCTGCCACGAATTCCGCACCATCCTCGACGGCCAGTCGTCCAGCCTGCCGAACAAGGAGCTCTCCGGCGGCGCGCGCATCAGCTTCGTCCTGCACCAGATCTTTGCCACGAATGTCCGTGTGCTGGACCCCTTTGAGACCATCAAGGACCATGACATCCGGACGCTGCTGTACAACACCTCGGTATGTGGGGACGCCGGCTGGTCATTCTGGCTTGTCGCTTTGTTGGAATCCCGCTGCCCACTTTTTCTCCTGCTTTCCCCTTCTTCTCCTCCTGCTGTTCCTCCTCCGGTTACTCTTCTTTATCCGCCTCCCTCCGACACGTCTGACTCTTCCCCCTCCCCCCTCCCCCCTCCCCGCGCCTCCTCCCGCTTCGTCTGTTCCTTTTCTCTTGCTGCCACCCAGGGCTCCTCGCCCAATCTCTTTGTCAGCGGCCAGTCGTTCGAGATTCTGGTTCGTCAGCAAATCGAGCGCCTGACCGAGCCCTCGCTCAAGTGTGTCGGCCTTGTGTTCAATGAGCTCACGCGCATTCTCCATGCTGTGGAGGAGAAGCAGCGTGTCTTCATGCGGTATCCGCTGCTCCGGACGAAGTTCCGCTCGGCCTACATGAACTTCCTGAAGACCGCCCTGGAGCCCACCAACCGCCTGGTGGGGGACATCATCCGGGCCGAGGCCAGCTACATTAATACCGCCCACCCGCACTTCATCACTGGCCACCGGGCCATGACGATTGCCAACCAGCGGCTGTTTGGGAACCGTGCCCCGGCGCCTGAGCAGCCGGCCCAGCAGCAGCCGGCCCAGCAGCAGCCGGCCCAGCAGCAGCCGGCTCAGCAGCCCGGGCAGCAGGGTGCTCAGAGTGCGCCCGCTCTGCCGACTCGGCCGCCCCCGCAGTACCCCGCCCCGCAGGCGCCCGTCAGTGGCACCGGCGCGCCGGCCATCAGCAATGCCGACTTCTTCGGCGGCATCCAGGGTGCCGAGGGGACGTCGGTTACCGCCAACGGCACGTTGGTGCTCAACGGTCCGCCGGCCAAGCTCGAGGCCACCGGGGCCATGTCCTCTCGCGAGCAGCTGGAGATCGAGGTCATCAAGGAGCTGGTGTCGTCCTACTTCAGCATCGTGCGCATGACCATCTCGGACATTGTGCCGAAGTCCATCATGCTGCATTTGGTCAACTTCACCAAGGACTCCCTGCAGGGGGAGATGATCGCCGAGGTGTATCGCGACAACTGGGTGGGGTCCTGCCTGCAGGAGGCCCCGGAGATTGTCCAGCGCCGCCGGGACACCCTGGCCCTGGTGAACGCCCTGCGCAAGGCGGATGAGGTCCTTTCCACCGTCTAAAGGGCGATGGATCCGTTTCTCTCTCTCTCTCTCTCTCTCTCTCTCTCTCGTCCTTCCTTCGTCTGTGCACGCACCCACACATCATGTCACCTCTCCTCGACTTTCCCGTTCCGCCTTCGACCCCCGTCTCCCCTATGTCCAAGCAGCAATGAGCCGTCCTGGATTTGGCCCGAGGATCCAATGCATGGACTTCACAGGGTGGATACTGGCGTTGCTCAGCCCCGGCTTGGGGAGGCTGAGTTGGGAGAGGGAGAGAGGGAAAAAGACAGCGAGCGTGTCCCTCGAAAGAATGGGTATATTGGTTGTGGCTGCCGGCGAGGCACAAAGATCCCGGGCCTGTGCCTCCTTAGGCATGAGCAACACCATCAATGATATCGTCGGCTGAGATATCGGATCCGAGAGCCCGGAGAAGGTTGCAAATATACTTCAACCGAGAGTCCGCGCGTATGAGTAAATTGGCATCATTGCTTGGGGGCGGGCAGGGGGCGGGCAGGCGGGAGGGGTGAAGAACACCGAGCCAAGACGCGGACGTACCCGAATGTCCGCAACCATTTGCAAGCTCGGCGAGGAGGCCTCTCCAGCCAGCTTCTATCGATCGCCCAAGCGTGACTGGAGTTCAGACGTTTCCTTTCCCATCTAGTCCGCGCGTATGAGTAAATTGGCATCATTGCTTGGGGGCGGGCAGGGGGCGGGCAGGCGGGAGGGGTGAAGAACACCGAGCCAAGACGCGGACGTACCCGAATGTCCGCAACCATTTGCAAGCTCGGCGAGGAGGCCTCTCCAGCCAGCTTCTATCGATCGCCCAAGCATCGAAGAGGGCCCGATGACGGGCGGCATGCGGGTCAGAGAGGCGGCACAGTGATGTCTTTGGGGCAGCGCCGCTCTCGGGCTTGGGGTGCGTACTTGTGAAAAGATGGCTGCATTCCGACAGGCATCGGCCACTGCCAAGCATACCGTCTTGATCCAAACGTCCAAATAGTCCCCGGCATCGGCAGGCTGAGCGGCGGGATCTTCCTCCGCGGCACTGGCACCGGTCAGGCTGCCGGGCGCAGA